TCAGATCTCAGCCTCCTGAGTTGCTAGAATTACAGGTGTAAGACACCTGCGCCCTGCAGCTTATATTTTTTATTTCTGCTAATGGTCACACTGAGGCTGGCCAAGGAAAACCCTGGGTAATGCAGACCCATTCCATGCAGGAAAAAGCCACAGGAGACTGGGGCAAGACATCTAGTATACAAACACAGTGTACATACATTCCCGTCTATATCTGTGTCATGAGGTTTCTGATTTCAGTGAAAGCTGTGTCTTGGGAGATGGGGGCGGTGCGACCATGCAGATGGCGGCAGCCTACTTCATAATGCATTATTTATGGATGCTATGATGTCATAGCTAATGGACACTTTCTCTCCAGATATTAATTCCCTAGAAATCCTCACTCAAAAAGCACCTACAACACTCCTCAGAACGGAATGCTGGCAGCTCGAATTTCTGCCATTAATCTGCAGAAAGGTCTACTTAATGACCTAGCAATGGACAATTTCCCCAGGTCAAGTAACATTTTAGTAAGAGTACACTATCTTCCTACCTCAACTGCAAAGGGAACTTTCAACCTCAAAAGATCAGTCTTAAGTGCTCTCAAACGCCAGAATTTTACAGAAACCAAAGTAAATCATCAAGGCCAGGAAAAGGCAGCGAAATTAATTCTCAATTCCGAAGTGGTGTGGTTTGATGTAATGTATACACACGTGCACATGCACACACACTCCATTCTTCTTTCAAAATACCCTCTGCTTCTCTGAAATTTCAAGGTAGATACCCCACATAACTTATTTAAAAGCCTACCATCATCCATACCACATAAAGAGGACTACATTAAAAAAAATTCAGCCCAATTTAAAATAAGAGTCCATTTGCTCTAAATGGTGATCTGCAAATGGCAGGGAAGAAACAGAATCATGGAAACTCTATATCTAAATATTACTTAAGTTCATTACTCTAGCTTATAGCTAGCTCTAAGAACTACCTAATAGGCATTCAAACCCTGGCTGAGGTGACGTGAGCTACAGATAGTAGAGAATAATAATAAAAGTGACAGTATTTTCAAATAATCACAATGGCAAGCATGCGTGATAAAGAGCAGAAAGACATCCGGCAGAAAGTTAGCTCAGCTCAGAAAGGTATGATGGCATTTTCCCAGGAGAGCTCTGGCCTTAAAGAGCTTCAAACGGCGCTTTAGAGCACCTGGGCATTTGTGCCTGCCTGGCACCCTCCTCTCTCCTCCCCTCTGCCCACCCTGGACCAGAGTCACCACCATGAGCAAGCCAAGACCACTAAGGGAGCTGCGCGGGAGGGCATTCCTTACGCTCCATGCTCTGGGGTCCGCCTGAGATGTTCCACACGGCTCTCTCAGAGCTGCTTCATGAGAGAAAGGCAGGGACAAGCAAGCTTCCCAGTACCCTCAGGTCCAGACAAAGAGCCAGCCTCAACATCCTCTTTTGAGTGGACTAAACAACAGCTGGCCACTAGTTTCCAATGTCTACTAGAGGGAAGGAAATAAGAAGGCCGGACCTGTTTATTTGTAGCTTCCCCACTTTTTAGATAGAGGCTCAGAGTAAAGCAAATGTCCCAGAGGCCTCATTCTGAGCTGAAAATGAAGACTGTCGTTGACTTTTCTTTTTTTTGGTTGGTCGTGGGGCTTGAACCCTGGGCCTGGGCGCTGTCCCTCAGCTCTTCAGCTCAAGGTGAGCACTCTACCACTTGAGCCACAGTGCTACTTCCGGTTTTCTGGTGGTTTATTAGAGATAAAAGTCTCATGGACTTTCCTGCCTGGGCTGGCTTTGAACCATGATCCTCAGATCTCAGCCTCCTGAGTAGCAAGGATTACAGGTGTGAGCCACTGGCGACTGGCTGTCTTTGATTTTCTTACTTCCCAGAAGCCTCGTGATTCCTCTGTGGCCTCACTTCTGTTTTCTTCTTTGCTCCCTGCTCCAGCCTCAAGTTCCAAGGAGGGAGTTCAGAGCTGAGGGTGTGGCTGTGTGTGGGAGAGTGCGCCTAGCCTGCAGAAAGCCCTAGGTGAATTCCCAGCTCTGAAAAAATAATTAATGAATTCATCTAATCTTTTTTTAAAGCTAAGTGGCTTTTTCCCTTCAGAACCGCATGTTTCTTAAGCACCGGGATATGTCTTCCTCAAGGCCGGCCTCTTGTCTGGCTCTCCCGTATCCAGGTTGCAATGATCAATGATTCCTGGGGAATGAGCTGAGCTGGGCACGGACCGAGAGATCAAAGGGCACAGAAAGGAAGATGCCAGTAAATAGACATAGCTATCCTTCACGAAGCACTTACTGTAACTATCCAAACTTTCCCACTGGTGGCCCCATCTTCAAATTAAGGAAAGTGGGGTGCAGAGAGTAAAGAAACTTGTTACAGAAAAGCAAGGAACCAGTGGGGCATTGCTGGCTCACACCTGTAATCCTAGCTACTCAGGAGGCTGAGATCTGAGGATCGCCATTCAAAGCCAGCCCAGACAGGAAAGTCCATGAGACTCTTATCTCCAGTTAACCAACAGAAAATTGGAAGTGGTGCTGTGGCTCAAGTGGGTAGAGCACAAGACTAGAGCTGAAGAGCTCAGGGACAGGGCCCAGGCCCAGAGTTCAAGCCCCATGACTGACACCCCACCCCCCCAAAAAAGCAAGGAACCAGGCACTGGTGGCTCATGTCTACAAATCCTAGCCTCCTTTAGGAGACCAAGGATTGTAGTTCAAAGCAAGCCTGGGCAGAAAAGTCAATGAGATTCTTCTCTCCAACCAGCAAAAAGCCAGAAAGAGAAGAGTGATCCTAGTGGTAGAACATTAGCCTTGAACAAAAAAGCCGAGAGAATGAGGCCCTAAATTCAGGCCCCAGTACTGGCACCAAAAGGAGAAAAGAGAAAGGAGAAGGAAGAAAGAAGAAGAAAGAGAAGGAAAAGAAGGAGGAAGAAGGGGAGGTAGAGGAGGAGGAAAAAGAGGAGGAGGAGGAAGAGGCAGAGAAGAGGGAGAGGGAGGAGGAAAGTCAGGAGGAGGAGGAGGAAGAGAAGGAGGAGAAGGAAGAGGAGGAAGAGGAAGAGGAAAAAGCAGAAGCTCCCCACCCATCCTCATCCCCAACCCATACACACCAGGCAGGCTGGCTGCAGAGCCTAGGAAGAAAAGTAATGTAAAAGATTCCATACATAAGCCGGGCATCGGTGACTCACACCTGTAATCCTAGCTACTCAGGAAGCTGAGATCTGAGGATCTCAGTTCAAAGCCAGCCCTGGCAGGAAAGTCCATGAGACTCTTATCTCCTATAAACCACTCAGAAAACTGGATGTGGCACTGTGGCTCAAGTGGTAGAGTGCTTTCCTTTAGCAGAAGAGCTGAGGGATAATGCCCAGGCCCAGAATTCAAGCTCCACGACCAGCCAAAAAAAGAAAAGAAAAAAAGATTCCATACATGAAAGCAGCACTTTCAGTCATGGGATGCACTATGAGTTAAGATGAGACCAGGAGTTGCCTGGTTACCTTCATATCCATTCTCCACATGTGTATGTGTATCTGTGTGTGTGTGTGCGCGCGCGCACGCACACGCTTAGGGGAAGCTCCAGGGCTTGAACTCAAGACCTCGTGCTTGTTAGTGTATTCTATTACTTGGAGCTATGTCTCTAGTCCTTATCGTTCTGGTTATATTAGAGAAAAATGTCTTGATGCCCAGGCTGGCCTGTGTCACAATCCTGTGTACACTCTCCACTCAGCTGGGACAACGGGCTCATACCAGCGCACGCAGTTTTATTAGTGGAGATGGGGGAATCTTGCAAAATTTTTGCCTGGGCTGACCTTGAATTACAATCTTCCTATTGCCCCTTCCCCAACAGCTAGGATTACAGGCATGAGCCACTATGCCAAGCTTCTAAGTATTTGTAAGCAGGTGACTACATGAATGCATATTCAGGTAGCGTTGGGCTAAGTTCCAGGGCATGCTCTCTGTCCCAAGACCTTTCCTCAGGTGATGGCCAGTTTAGGACAAATCCTGGTCTCCTCGAGAGCTCCGTGACTCTGCAACAGCTCCTACCTGGCTGCCTTCAGCTCAGCAGGCTGCACCATCAGGGGCAGCGAGGCCTGGAGCAGGGTGACCAGAGCTGTGGGATGTCAGAGAATATGCTGGAGGAACAAAAGGCCCAGAGGTGGGGGTGTCCAGCCCCTCAGGGTGGGGAACAGGGGAACTAGAACTGGGAGAATCGCAGACTGGGTTAGAGCACATGGCAGAGCCCGGAAGTCTGCTGGGGACTGTTTCGCTGCAGTGGACGCCTCCTGACAGCTCTTATCAGGGGCTGCTGCTGCCTGCCTGGGCCCCCTCAGCTCCCACGGCCACCCCCAGGCTGCTGCAGTGGACGGCTATCTGGGGAAGCAGAAAGAACCGAGGAAAGTATATTTAGTACCATTGAAACAGCAGGTTCCAGCCTCAGAGGGCTGAGAGGATTACTCAGCCTGGAGAGGGGAGCGGCTACTTCACTCAGGAAACGCTACGAAATGGCCAAGCCAGGTCCCAGCCCAGGTTTCCAGGTCTGCCACCAGCGAGGAAGGGAGGGAGAAAACTAAATACTGGCTGGGCACACAGGGGCTCACGCCTATAATCCTAGTTACTAGAGGCTGAGATCTGAGGATTGTGATTCAAGGCCAGCCTCAGCAGCAAAGGCTGTCAGACTCTACACACCAATGAACCAGCCAGGAATGGAGGTGTGGTCAAGAGGTGTGGTCAAGTGCTAGAGTGCTAGCCTTGAACACAAAAAACTAAGGAAAAGCACCCAGGCCTGAGTTCAAACCCCAGTACTAGTGCACATGCACGTGCACACACATACACACACACATTAATTAACACACATTAACTGCAGACCAGTGGCAGCCAAGAAAACATTAGGAGCACCCCCGACCACCTGTCTGCAGGCTTCGCTCAGGGGTCAGAGCTGGGTCCACAGACTCAGAAGGCGGCTGGGCTGACTTCAGCCGCTCAGAACATCTTCCCATCCTGGCCTCTCTGTCCCTGCAGGCCAGGCTGGCCTCATTCTCCCTGAACCAGCCCATTAGGTTCTGCAGGGAAAGCGTCTCCAGCTGCCAAAATGCTCTGCTGCTGGGTTGTTAAAACAAAGATGGTAAATTGCTATGTAGACTGTCATCTTTAAATAAAAACTGAAGCCCAGCACTAAATCTGAAACAGTTCCCAAGAGTTGAATGGGATAATGTAGAACAGGCCCGGTGGCTGCCTGGCAGGGTGGGAAATCCCCTGCCAAGTCACCCCTTGACCTGGTTGGGGGAAGCGAAAAGGGAGAGGGAGGCAGAGGTGTGGCCCCAACTTTGCTTGTCAGCTGGGCACATTCCAATAATGCAAGTTGTTGTGAGGGACTAGCTGGGTGCCCCAGGACTGGCACAAACGCAATCGGCTGGGGTACCTGTTAAAAATACAGCCAACTCTTGTCTCCCCAAGACCAAAACAGCAAACCTGGGCCAAGATATGCATGTGTGTGTGTGTGTGTGTGTGTATACACACATGTGTGTGCTCAAGCACGCATGTAGTACTGGGCTTGCACTGAGGGCATGGGCACTGTCCCTTAGCTTTGTCGCTTAAGGCTGGCACTCTTATCACTAGAGTCACAGCTCCACTTCAGGCCCGTTTTTTGTTTTGTTTGCTGGTTAGCTGGAGATAGAGTCTCAGGCTCTTCTGTGCAGGCTAGCTTGGAACTGTGATCCTCAGATCTCAGCCTCCTGACTGGCTAGGATTACAAGTGTGAGCCACCAGTGCCTGGCCAAAAGCTGACTGTTATCAAGCTCCACCTATCCACACCTGGTTGGTGGAAGACACACTGTGAAACCCTGAAAGGTGACTATAATTCCTCTTTGAATCTTGGAAGTGGGGGTGAAGAACTCAGAGCCTTAGTTTAAAGGTATCACTTCAATTAGATTTTGCAAGAAGTCTAACAAGAGGCTCTCTAAGGAGATAGGACTGCAGCCAGGCACAAATCAGCACTCATGCAGGGGTGGATCCAGCTTTTGTGGGGCCTGAGCTTGCTTACACAATTTCAAGAGTCTCTTTAAGAAAAAATAATTCAGCTGGGGGTGGCTTTGTGGGAGAGAGCGCTTGCTTAGCATATGCAAGACCCTGACTCCAATCCCTAGATCTGAAGGAAGAGAAATCAAGATTCCCACCCAAAAGTCAGTAGAGTTTTACACTTGGCTGGCTTCCCAATACTTCTCCCTTTCTTACTTGGCTCCTTTTCCTACTGCTGGCTGTGGTGACCACCTGGCAGGGGCTGATGTCTCCTTGCCTGTGGAGAGCATACATTTACCTAAAAATTCCAAGGAAATCCAGCTCCTGGAGCG